TAAAATGAGGATGACCTTAACAGGATTCTAGAGGCTCATCAGATCTTTTTTTATTTCTCTTGGGAGGCTGGCAAGTAGGCAGTCAGGAAGTTGTCCTACCCCCTTTTTGGCAGTCTGGGATTTAAACCTGGGGGCACTTTACCACCTAGCTACGTCCCCAGCCCTGTCTGCCTTTTAACTATTGAGACAGGGTCCTGCTGAGTTGCCAAGACTGGCCTCAAATCAGTGATTCTCCTGCTTCACCTCCTGAGCAGCTGGGATTACAGGCATGAACCACCATGCCTAACTAGTATTCCTACTGTACAGGTGAGAAAAGTGAGGGCCAGAGAGCGAAAGTCACATAGTACATTTCCATTCCTGACAGACTGTTATGGTTTGGATATGAGGTATCCCCCCCAGACTCCTCTTAATGCAGGAATTTTCAGAGGTGAAATGATTAAATTATATGAGGACTGTAACCTACTCAGTCCATGCTAGTTTGAATGGACTGACTACTGGGGCATGCCTGAAGATGAGTGACTGGGGGTGTCCCCTGAAAGGGCACATCTTGTCTGCAGCCCTTTCCCCCTCTCTGCTTCCTCGCCCTACCATAAACTGATCTATTTTCCTCAGCTGGGCTCTTCCCTCCATGATGTGCTGCTAACCTTAAGCCCAGAGGAATGGAGTCAGCTGTTTATGGACTGAGACCTCTGAAACTGTGAGCCCTAAATAAACTTTTCCTCCCTGAGTTGTTTTTGTCAGGTGTTTTGGTCACAGCTATGCAAAAGCTGACTAACACTGAGCTAACTAAGGCAGTGAACCTTCAAATCCAAGTGCTTCCCCACCTCCACCCCACCTCCACCCAAAGTGGAAAATCAAGGCATGAAACAAACCCTAATGTCAATGAGGGTCTTGAGCCATTACAATTCTCAAAGATCCTGAACTGGCAGTGGAAACTGAGTTCATAATAAAACTGGATAGCTGAACTTTCAGAGCCATCCAAATCTGAAGCACATCTGGGAGAGGCACATGTGTCATTGTCCGACTCTAGGGCCTAAGTGAAGGATGCCCCTTCTGTGATGTTTTGATATTACAACTAGGTCCTCCCCAGGGACAAAGAGCAGAGGAGACACTTATCCTTAAGGTATTACATCCTAGTTCCCTCCCTCCTATTCAAAGGTCTTAATCTGAGCTCATAAGGAAGGACAAAGATCATGGCTTCCCCCTAATTCCCTGCTCAGAAGGAACAGCCTCCCTCCTCCCATTCTCAGTTGGAGTTCTTAAACAGGCTGCACAATGAGAGAAACACACATATATGGAAACGTACACAAGGTGACACAGTCACCTACACAAGCACATGGATCTACCTACCAAACATAGGAATGCATACAAGCCCAGATGTCCTGGTCTCACATTACTCCCCAAAATGAGAAAGAGAAGTCTGGGCAGCAGAATGGTTTTGACGGATGTAAGAGGGGACATGTAGCACTTCCCAGGCCTAGAGTTTCTATCCCTGGTTCTGGAAGGAGGCAAGAGGATGTGTTTTCTCTGGGGTTCTGGTGAATTTCTCAAAGGGCTGTTGGGGATTATGGGATTTTCATTTGTAAGAGTGATCTGAGTAATGGCGGGAGGGGGCTGATCCAGCACTAACCAAAGCCTCCCTATAGATGCCAGGTGCTAGAAACATAGGGTACACCTGGGTGTGAGTGTGGGCAGCTGCACACTAGAATCTCTCCTTGGGTCCACCTGGGCTATTTGCAGGAAACTTGGGGAAGCAGTGAGGTGCACTAAAGACTCCCTTCTGCTACAGGAAGCCAGAGAGGCAGCAGGATAAGGAACGGCATGGACATTCAGAGAGCTCCACAGCAGCCATCACACATGAAAGTACACAATCAGCACCAAATTTTAAAATAATCCACATAATCTCACAATCACAAAATATACAACAACCCACTTTAACAACTGTTCATTCCAGGAGGTTCACAGTCCATAGTCTTATAAAGAGACATACCACGGTAAATGAAGCCCTAATACATTCTGGTTGTCACATGTCACCTCACACAGAATCATACACTCAAAGCCTGTAGTTGCACATACAACAAAGACACATGGTCAAAACAAATTAAGTACAACCAGGGTCCCACATAGCCTCATTCAAACATCAGACAAGATCATAAATTGCACTGCCACATGCACTCACACTCACCCTGGTTGTCACCAAGCCCAAGGCACATGGCAACCAGCTGTGGGAGGTACACACACATACATAAAGCAGACACACATAGGAATGATAAGCGCTCACTCACGTAACACCTCCCACTCCAGACACACTCCCAGCCCTGTGTCACACACGCCCACACCTGCTGCCTCTCCACACCTGCCCCACTTGCCCCTCCACCCCTATGGAACTCAAGGCTTTGAACCCCACTATCCAGTTGCCTAGACCAGCTGGGAGAGTGCCTGGGAATGGGATAGAGAGCAGGTATGGAGCAAGTCAGGGTAGGAGAGGTGGAAGGATCTGGGGGGATGGAATCCACCCTCCCTCCCGTGACCCCTGCGCCACTGACTCACCCGTGAGCTGGTCGTAAGAGCCGTCCAGATCGCGGGAATCGGACAAACTCTCCTTGCGGCCCTGGCCCCGCATGGCCCCCGGCGCCCCACTCCCGCTTGGGCTGTGGGAGGGGGCGCCGGGTGGCCGGGATAGGGCGCTCACACGGCGCCCCCTGGCGGCCTAGGGCACCGTTGGGGCTGGGGACCGGGAGAGCCAAAGGTTGGGGGGCTAGTCTGGGGACCAGAGGGTTTCTAGGCCCAAACTAGGGGGTCCCGGGGCAGGAGCAGGAGGCTTGGGCGGCAAATGAGCGCAGAGCCAGAGGCAGAGTGGAGCTGAGCTCTGAACAGGAGCGATCCGCCTCTCTCCTCCCGCCCCCTCCCCGCGGCTGTCATTGCCGCCTCCCCTCTTTGGCGCTGCTGGGATTGGCTCCCCCTACCTCCGCCCCCCACCCTCTTCAGCTCGGAGGCGGCTCCGGTGAAAGGGTGAACTGCAAAGTGCAGGGAGGGAGACCATCTCCCAGCAACACCACCTCTCAACCTCAAGCCACCGATGTTGGGGTGCAAGAGAGCGGGGCCAGAGAGCCCACTGTGAGGAAACCTTGCCCACAATTTTCAGACACCCTCTTCCCCTACCATCAGCACTGTCTGGTGGAGTCAGAGCCTGGGTTATGCCTCTGGGTTCTCCACGTCAGCCCCTATTTTGTTTGTTCCTCCTGCCAGTTCCAGCCAGTCCCCCGTCTCCACCCTGCTTCTCTCTGCTTCAAGTGGGAAGAGAATGCAGAGAAAAGTCCACCCGTTCTCGGATACAGGCGCTGTGGACAATTTTTTGTTGCCTCAAGTTCCAGCAGGATGCCACTCTCACTTAGGGCCCCCTGTCTGGATATCATCCATTCCCAGTGGGCCTTCTTCCCTGATCTAATAATGACCCCCTCGGCCCAAGAAGATAAGAAAAACAGTGAACCAGGTCAGTTTCTCAAGACTTCCTTGCTCTTTTGTTTTTTTTCCTTTCAACTTTTCTGCCCTTCTCTTTTGTCATCTACCCTATCTTAGATTCCTTGTTTTCCAGCAGATTTAGGGAGGTAGTGAAGGGTTTGGGGATCTGGGTGAGGACAGAGTGGACAAGTAATGCCCCTTTATGAAGCCCTCTCCACTTAAGATTAGCTCCTTTTCTGAAAGCAGGGACAGCACAGAGCTGGGCTCCCTTAGTCTCAATGTGTCTGAATTGCCCCCAGGATACTTCCTGGGCTCCTAGCCAAGAACACAGTCTCTGCCCCCAAACCCTGCCATAAGAATGGGTGGATGGTGTTTGGTGGGTCTTGAGAAGTGGCCTGCTGAGAACAAAAGCTTCAGCTAAAGTGACCTCAGCACATTTAATCTCTTCAACAGGATTTAATTTCCAACCACTTGTTTCAATCAACCCAGCAGGAATTGTCTTTTGGGAGCAATACCCTGCTCCTGGCTCTCTTCTGACTCTGCAGAAGCCTCCAAATACCTGGCACAGAGGCTGGGCATGGGCAACTCTTTTTGAGGTTGATTTCTGGGAGAGAATGGGAACTCCTGTTTGGAGTTCTTGGAATAGGTGTATGTGAAGAAACAAGGTCAAGAGATGGACTGTATCAAGGGAAGGCAAGGAGTCCTCTGCTTAGTGACCCATGTCCTAGACCTGCCTTTCTTCACTTTATACAAAATGCTGGCAGGAATCCAGAAGGAGCCCAAAGGACTTGCTGACCTCAACACCATGAAGTTTGGAGATAAGGGAATTGTATTCTGCCTTCTTCCATCCAGAAAGCAAGGGAGGCTACAAGTGTCTGAGCTCAACTGTCCTCTACTAATGCCATGACACTCAGGAGGAGAGTCTGTTAAGGACAGGCAGGGGTCTCCTAGCCAGATGGGACCAATACCTGGGAGATCACCTTAACTCTGTCTCTGAGAATTGAGTCTGGGCCACATAGATTATGGGGGTGGGGGACACTAAGAAGATTGTCCCACACAGATCAATTTTTAATAACTTCAATTTGCCACCAGCTCCAGATCCAGCTGTTCTGGGGTTTATCACCTTGGAAAATACTAATGTCACAGGCTGAGCTATCCATACAGTGATCAGTGATCAGAGAAGACCCAGTCCATGATCTCTTTAGATCATACATCTAGGCATGGGAGTTTGTTGATGGATTCTCTGAAACTAATGCTTATCTGCTCAAAGTTGGAGCCACAACTCTGGTTCCCAGAGAGGGCAAGTATACCAAAGAGATACAGGGCTAAATGGATAACAGCTAGGGAGGTCTCACACCTGTTCTCACAGCTGGATTTCTGCACTTTATCCAATTATTTCTGTGCCTGCTTGCTCCTTGCCATCCTAAGGGCTTTAGAAAGGGAGAGTCTTATAGCAGCAGCTATTTTGGAGGTAGCTGTGGAGTTTAAAAAAAAAAAAAAAAAAAAAAACACAAAAAACAAACCTACAATGGTCCTGTGGAGGCTATACAAAGGAGGAACCACAGACTGACTTCCCGAAGATCAGGAGATTTGCCCATGGTCCCACCCAGAATATGGGTAGATAGGATGAAGGCCCTATACATAATGCTCACCTGGCCTTTTTCAGATGGAGGACACCCTGCTCCCAGCAGGTTCTCTCCCCCCCAGGCACCAGACCATAGCAGGAACAGATTCCTCCCCAGAGGAAATTCTTAAGCAGGCTGGATGTAAACAACAGCAGGGTGAGGGGGTGGAACATGTGGAGGGGAGCTCAGCAGAGGCAGGAGAGGCCCCCAGTGGGAGGGGGTGGCTGAGAAGATGGGAAAACTGCTGGAAAGGGAACCAGCAAAGTAGGCACTTTAAGGGCTCCAGAAAACCTGTCAATGTTTATTTTGTGCACACCCTAAAGACAGTTTAAACCAAACTAAAAATGCAAAGCTAAGGTTGTAAGCCTTTTATGCTGATGAGTCAATGGGCTGGAAGGCAAGGGAAAGCTAACAGGTATTTCTGGTGCCAAAACTAAAATCCAGAAAGTGGTGGCCAGACAATGTGAGCACTGATTCCAGCCTCCAGTTTCTTAGAGGAATCGACTTTGAATTGGGGAAAAAAAAAAAAAAGTGCCCCACTCCTATCCTATCCTATCCTAAGCCTGACCTGAGGGTCCTAATGACTGGACAGAGTCCTAGCAGGGTAGGGACACAGATGTCAAACCCAGCTCAGCTCCAAGCTTAAAGGGAACAGGATATGGCTCCTGGTATGTCTGAAAGTTGATCTATTTTCAGAAGCCAAGGAAAGCCATTGGCCTTCAGGGTCCTGGCCTCTCCTGAGGCTTGCCCCACCAGCTTCTGAAAATCAGCCAGAAGTCACAACTTGTAAAGTTAATTGGAAATGTGAGGGGGTGTCCAGGGGACCCACCTAGAAGTCCCCATGTTCTTGGATGTCTCTCCTTTTGCCCACCCATTCCTCCCCAAATAAGATCATCCCTGGCTTGCCCCTGCTGTCCAAGCTTCACTGAAGTGTGGCCTTCACCAGGAGAACTCAGTATCTGTTTCTCTCCAGTCTTGGAGGCAGCCCCCTCTCCCCTTGCACCCCTCCAGCTCAGGAGCCTCATGAGTAAGGGCAGTCAGTGGCTGTCAGGCCTCAGGAGATAGTGGAGAACTCCTTTAGCAGGACCTCCTGGCTGAGTGTGTGGAAGGCCAGGTTCCTCCGGACATTGGTGCTAATGGATCGAACCTGGGAAAGGATAGGGGTAAGGTGGGAAGGCACAGAAAGAGAGAAAACAGGACATAATCAGTTACAAACAGCAGACAGCAGTGCCTGTGGCACAGGGCTAAGGAAGTATCCACCATGCCATCAGGGGAAAGACCTATGGAGAACAGCTGAGAGGGCCAAACTCTCTGTTATGAAAGGGTTCCACAAGGAATCTAGCAGACTCTGCAAGGAGGTTCATCCATGTGTATGTTTATGAGAAACAAAAGAGTGGGGGGAGAAGATAGTGTGTGTCCTGAGCCCTAAAATCTGCTTTGTTGTAGAAAAGTTAATAAAGTTGTTAGGTTGGAAACAGGAAAGAACAGCGTGGCAAACAGCAAGCAACTCAAGTTCATTAACTCCCAACTGGACCAGACTCACTTTGCATCCCTGTGCCAGAAGTGCAAACAGGAGAGCTGAGTAAGGCAGAGGCTACCACCAAAGATCCTAAAGACAGAGCTCCTCTAATTCTCCTTCACAATCTTTTTCATCTCCCAATAGTTAATTGCTGGTCCCCAGTAATTCCCCAACATGGACATAAAGACTCATCAACTACCCCATAAAAATACTCTTACTTGCTATATCCTTACACTAATGGCTTCTCTGTTCCCAACTAACTCACACCAGAGAAATCCTGAGGAGGTCATGTCAGGGTCAGATTTGGGCTGTGTTTAGCACAAGACATGATCTAAAATCTAGCACCTTCACTGTGGATGGATGTGGTGTGGGGAAGTAAAAGCTAGGCCACTGGAAGTTATACTCCAGCAGAGGGAAGTCTAAAGACATGGGAAGTAGGTACAGAGGCCTCAGTGTCCTGGTCTTAGTTCCCAGCCAGAAAGTTTATGTAAACTAAGCAGGTGGTGTGGCAGGACTATAGGGAGGCTGAATTTTTCCTGAGAGCAGCTCTGATCACAGGGCAGAAAAGGGACAATTAATAGGGAGAGATCAGTTTTGTGGAGATGCTGACTGGAAGGTGGAGTAGGAGGCAGAGAAAATGCTTACTGGCTCTGGGTAGCCAAAGGTGGGGACTGTAGGAAGCTGAGTGATTGGAGAGTAGGAGTGGGTGTAGGGAGTAAAAACCTGAGAACTATATTAGGAGGGCACTCAGACTAGGAACCAGTTAGGAATTTAGGAAGAAGTGAATTATTGATTCTCATTATCCTCATTAGTTGCTCTGAGGCCTTGATAAGGAGCAATGAGCCAGAACTACCACTGGGAACACACGTCAAAACCCAGGCCCAGTTGGAGCTGTGCAAGGGCTGTCTCCATGGCTGCAGAGGAGGTACTGCACTGGGAATATTTTCTTCTCTCACTGCCTCTTCTTGAACTGTTTTGGTAGAGAAGTTTTACATTGGATCCCAGCAGACCCTTCTAGTCTTAGCCTGTGGCAAATTGCAGCTGTTCCCTAAATGTCCACCTACAAACAGAACCTAGTAGCTGGGAATGGGCCCCCAAGAAACATAGGCAGAGCCAGGGTCAGAGTACTCACCAGCTCTTTGAAGAAGGCAGCTTCCTTATGCTGCTCTGAGTAGCGCTCATACTGGTCCAGGCCATCCTGCAGCTTCAGTGTGAGTGTGTCATAGTTGGCTCGTACTACCTCTAGCACCTGAGGGAGGTAAAGAGCAGGGCATGGACCATGTAAATCATGGGCCTTAGCCCCACATTGCTACCTTATTGGGTTGGATTCAGTCTAGGGTGATACCTCCAAAAGACCCTGGCTCACTACTTATCATCCAGAAAAAAGCCAGGCCACAGGGAACATTACTTCCTAATCTCTTCTATTCCCCTCCTTTCCTTACCAACCTAGCCTGGCCACCAAGGATGTTTACTCTGGGTATGATAAAAGAACATGAGAAGAAGTAACAGAACTGTGAATGCCTGAGGTCACTCACATTCCTGATACTATAATTTTGCTCTCATCCTCATCCTGAAGCTTTCTCTGGTCAGGTTGTCAGTGTCAGACTTTGCCAGTGTCTTCTTGCTTCTCCCTTTCTGGGAACTAAATTTCTTCAGTCCTGGGATATTCCTTAGCACCAATTGCCACTTGTTTTTAATCTCTTGATGCCAACTCAGCCTTCCTACCCATTGTGTGGATGAAACTTTTGGACATCCAAGCCTTTGGGTATAGGGCATACTTTCAAGACTGAGCTATAGTTTCTGTTTTGATGAGAGATATCTCTCTCTTCAACAATGTCAGAAAGACATTGTTGAATGTCAGGGGGAGGATTCAGACTTCGGCTGACTCTGGGAAGCTTGGGTACCACTGGTTAAGAAGGAAAGGACTACTATAGCTAGGCCTGATATGACTTCAACTTATAAGACCATCAAATAAAGGCAAGGTCTGACAGGGGAGAGGCACTACATCAAGTAGGCAGAAGTGAGTTGAGCAGAAAAGAATTACCAGGAGAGGGAATGACTATTCACTTTGGTAGTTTAAGGGCACTTATCTGACCTGTATGAAAGCCTATGACATCATGGAGAACTCCCTGCTCAGTAGAGAGCTTGAGGAGAAGAAATGAGTGATGAGGGACTGTTAGCTCTGCAGGGTGATAGAGAATAAGCCAGAGTCAGGGTAGGTCAGAGGGATTGAGAATAGATTCCAAAGGAGTACAAAGGTACCTCTGGACTGTTCCTTTACCATTCTAAATTTGTGTTTGGGCTGACTTTACTTGGTAACAAACACTTCTGTCTGCCAAGAAGAATTCCTGAGGAAAGAGATGAGCTGGAGAGCACTGGTAAAACTTGTGTCCCTAAGGGAGAGTTCTCTGAGTTTCAGTTCAGAAGGAAGGGACAGCTAGGGCACAGCTCTGGCCCAGTTTTCTTCCTTCCAGACATTCTCAGCTCCATAAAAATAATTTTGTTGGCTCTTTCCCACAGACCCTAATACAAGCTGGTTCCTTTGCTTCTAATTCCAATTGTCAGCTCTGTAGGTAGGTAGACCACAGCCCAGCAAGAGCAGTCACAAAATAATCCAGTCTTACCAAGAACATGGGCTATATACTTGAGCCAGAGTCTTGGCTCAGAAGTGAATGGCTCAAACCCACAAAAAGGCAAAATTTTCTCCAAGATGGAAACATCCCCCAGGAACCAAGCAAAATAAAGTAATACATGTTTTCCTAAGTCCTGAAACATGGGCAGCCTCAACAATGCCTATGACCCAGCAACCTGGGCTTGGCTTTCCTTAAAAAGGTGTCAGGTACTAAAAGACAAAAACCACGTCAAAGCCAGTTTCTGAGAAAAAGGTGCAGTATGTTAAGAGATGTCTCTACCTTCTAACTATGCCCCAAGAGTCTAAGGCCTCCAAGACTCCCTTGATCACCTAGACATTCTCCTCTTGCCAGGGAAGAATGGAATGTCTAAGGTCTTACTTAACAGGGAATTTTCCTTTCTCAGTAAGGTGGGCTTTTCAAAGTATACCCTAGTACAGTTTGTTACAAGAAGTTCAAAGCAGAAAAGGCTCCTGAGCTACTAGCTCCTTAGAAGGAAACCAGAAGCCTGGCTGGATCATTACGCAGTGCATGATTACGGCTCCACTCTTATCTGGATATTGCCCAGTGCTGCCTCCTCCTTCCCTGGTCTTTCATGTGGGCTTCTTTCCTTTCTTTCTCTTTTACCTAGCAAAAAGTTGCCCATCAGCTCATCTAGACTACCGTCTCCTGCCCTCATCACCTCTCAATTACTTGCAAGAGAACACACTCTAAGCTCAGGTCTGGGCCTCAACTCATTCAGCACTTCAGAGCACTTGCCAAGTCTGGGATTTTGCTTTCTGGAGCTAAAGACTTTAGGAACATGTGCCATTTGAGCTTCAACTCTGGCTTGGGGTGTGGCAAGAGCAATTTCTCAGATTGTGTTTAAAGGCCTTAGGCTTTATTGGGCCCTGTGGTGCATTCCTATAATTCTAGCAACTTGGAAGGCTGAGGGCCTAAGCAACTTAGCCAGGCCCTGTCTGAAAAATAAAAAATAAAAAGGGTAGGGGCTGTAGCTCAGTGGTAAACACTCCTGGGTTCAATCCCTAGGGGGAAAAAGAAAAAGAAAAAGACCTTAGACTTTACCCTAATTTACAGCTTTGGGATCTGGCTTCCTGGTAACTCCAATTGCCCCTATCAGGTTGAGATCCCTTCCCAATTCATCAGGTAACAGTCTAGTCCCCAAGCACATACAAACCCTCTTTCATCAGCTGTTGGGCTTGTGGGATTCCTAGAACTAGGCCCACTACCTTAGCTCAAATAGCTTCAAAGTTAGAAATCACCTACAAGATATAATTAATCTTTAAGGAACCCTTACATCTCCACTTATGACCCTTAGTAGACAGGAACTTGGGTCCTGGTAAGAGCCTGATAGAAAAATAACTTACTTGAGCCAAGAATGGAAGCACATGCCTGTAATTTTAGCAATTTGGGAGGCTGAGGCAGAAGGATCAAGGCCAGCCTTAGCAACTTAGTAAGACCCTGTCTCAAAATTTAAAAAAAGGACTGGGGATATGGTTCAGTAGTGAAGCATCTCTGGGTTCTATCTCCAGGACCAAGAAAAGAGAGAAGAAAGAGAAAGGAAGGAAACAAACTGAATTGGAGTTCCACTCTATGTGTATATGTGCTACTGGGGGTTGAATCCAGTAAGCACTTATTAACCAGGTAAATTTATGTAATTTTCTTTATTTTTTTGAGTTTCAGTTTTTATATCTGTAAAAGGGGATAGCACTACCTTAAAAGAATGATGTGAAGATGAATGAGATAAGGATTGTCCAATGGCTGGCACATAATGAATAGTCAATAAGTGGTTCTAATTTTATAATTACTAATGGTGTTTGGAAGTTCTGATTGTCTCCAGATAGTTCTAATCATAAGCCAAGAGCTAGGGTTTCACACATCTTCACTTAGCCAATGTCAGATTCTGGTGACGTGGAAACATTTCTATTTGATGTGAAAGGAAGCCTGTAATAAGGATCACACTGTCCTAAGTATAACTAACAATGCATGAGCCGGAAGACAGAGTGCCCAGTATGCAATACTAACCTTTACAACTTTGGTAGTGCACAGGACTACAGATTATATCAAAGAAAAATGAGCAAAGAGGCTCCTAAAGACTCAACTTCACACGATACAGACTGTGAGGCTCTTGGCCACATCAGGATTAAGATGTCATCAATGATGTAAAGTAGATGATATTCCAGTGCATTAGGTTAGTTCAAAATTGTTGATGAGGTTTAAGACACATGTACTCCTTGGGGCTGTAGTTGTATCTCAGTAGTAGAGTGTTTGCCTCACATGTGTGAGGTACTGGATTTGATCCTCAGCACTACATACAAATAAAAAATAAAATACAGGTATTGGGAAGGGAGAGGGCATAGGGGTAGGAAAGATGGTGGAATGAGATGGACATCATTACCCTAAGTATATGTATGAAGACATAAATGGTGTGACTCTACTTTGTGTATAACAGGAGATACGAAAAATTGTGCTCTGTATGTGTACTATGAATTGAAATGCATTCTGCTGTCATGTATAACAAATCAGAATAAATAAATAAATTTAATAAAGGTAGTGTGTTCACCTACAACTAAAAAACATTGAAAAAAAAAAAAAGACACACTCCTTTCCCTGAGAACATTCAATATGCATTCTTTAGACTGTTCAGTATCCAATGTATCAATGCTCTAGCACCAGGCTCTATCCTCAGTCCTTTAAAAAAAAAAAAAATATATATATATAGGCACAATATCTCTATTTTTTATTTTTAGATGGTGCTTGGGATCGAACCCAGTGCCTCATACATGCTAGGCAAATGCTCTGCCTCTGAGCCACAACCCCAGCCTTCCCTCAGTCCTTTTTTACATTTTATTTTGACACAGGGTCTCACTAAATTGCCCAACCTGACCTCAAACTTGCAATCTTCCTGACTTAACCTCCTGAATATCTGGGATTATGGGTATCTGCCACCAGGCCCACCCCACTACCTCCTGCCTTTTTTCCCCCCAAAGTAGGACTTTTGAAACAGGAAATATCTTCTAGCCTGAAGACAGCCACAAACAAGAATTCCCAAGTTGAAAAGTTTCTGGTGATGGCTATCCAATCTTGATGCCAGAAGGCTTTGCTCTGGGCCTGAAAAACTGCTCATTCTCAAATTTACTGGCCTGAATTCCCAGCAGAGAAGGACAACTAAGTAATAGGATGTGTCCTATCAGCAAACTTGTTTTCATTATCTTCTCTCAATTTAAACTAACATCTAAAGTATGACTTATTTCTCAATCAGGGCAACATGTATGGTCTGCCCTAGAAGCCAGACTGCCAAATAAAGATGAGCCCACGAATAGCAACAGAAAAGACTTCCTTTTTAGAATAGGAAATACACATAGGCCAGGAAGATGGCAGTGGAAGTAATGAAAAGAGACTATCAGATCAGAAATCTAGATTCAAACTTGACCTGACTTTTAGTCCTTAACTATGAAAAAGTCATAATATTTTCTTATAATATTTTAAAGATTAGAGATAATATATAAAAATAAATGTAAAAATATAAATGAAAGGATCTAGTAAATAGAAGGTGCCAAGTGAATAAAGGCAATTAAGAAGAAAACAAAAGAACAGGAAAAAGAAAAAAGAAAAATGG